TGAGTGTGTGTATGTGTGTGTGTGTGTGTGTGTGTGTGAGAGAGAGAGAGAGAGAGAGAGAGAGAGAGAGAGAGAGACAGAGACAGAGAGAGATGGAGAGAGAGAGGAGTATAGAGGTGTATGTGCCTGTGCACATGCATGTGGTGGCCCAAGCAGCATGTCAAGTGTTTTCCTTTACAGGCTCTCTAACTAAATGGGAAACTTGCATTTTGAGCTCTGTTGGCTGCATTAGCCAATGTGGTGGTTTGAATGAGACTGTCCCCCATAGGCTCCAAGTACTTGGGCATTTTGTCCCCAGCTGGTGGCTCTCTTTTGGGAGGTCTTAGAAGATGTGGCCATGCTAGAAGAATCATGTCATTGGGGGTGGGCTTAGAGAGCTCTTAAGCCCTGCCAGATTTCCAGTCACTCTACTTCTTGTGCCTGCTTGAAGATGTGAGAGCTTAGCTTCTGCTCCTACTCCAGTCACCTCTGCGCCATGCCTCCCCACCATGATGGACTCTTGCCCCTTTGAAACAATAAGCTAAATAAATTCTTCATTTTATAAGTTCCCTTGATCATGGTGTTTCTATCATAGCAACAGAAAAGTAACTAGTACAGCCAGCAATCCCTCGAGACCCGCCTGTCTCTTCTGCCACCTCAGTTCTTTCTTCCCACCTTTATGTAGGGTTCAGGGGTGGAACTCGGGCCTTGGGCTTGTGTGGCTTTATCCACTGAGCCATCTTGCTGGCCCAGCATTTTCAATTTATGATCCTTTCAATTTACAATGGGCTCAAAAGAACATACCTTCATTATGATCAAGGGACATTATACACTACTCCTGAGGCAGCAAATCCTACATTCTGGGGACCATTATAACACTGGATTCTCAGAACAGCCTGATGAGAAAGGAATTGCTACTTTAGAGATCCAATCTCATTTGTTCCAGGTCACTCAAGGAGAAAAAGGCATCCACTGGGGATCTCAGCTCAGACACTGTCCTCCACAGCCTCACTCCTGACACTCCCTGCATTTCTTCTCCAAAGCCCAAGTTCATGCGTGTACATTGGTATCCTCCTAGCATCACAGCCATTAGCATCTTCATCAAAGCCCCTGTGACTACTCCAAGCCATCTTCAAGATCAGCCTGTTGAGACTGCAGAGATGGCTCAGCAGTTAAGAACTCTTAATGCTAGGTGGTGGCACATATCTTTAGTCCCAGCATTCAGGAGGCAGCGGCAGGTGGATCTCTATGAGATGGAGGCCAGCCCGGTCTACAGAGCAAGTTCCAGGCCAGCTGGGGCTACAGGGAGAACCTGTCTCAAAAAGATGAAAAAAAAGTCTTACTCCTCTTGTAGAGGACCTGGTTTAGGGTTCCAGTACCCACATCAAGTGGCTCACAGCTACCTACAACTACAGTCGCAGGGGATTCAACACCCTCTTCTGGTCTCCATGGGCAAAATATGCACTTGGTGCACATAAAGTCATGCAGGTACATACACATATACAGAAATAATAAGTAAATAAATCTTTTTTTTTTTTTTTAAAGATCAGGTCTATTGACTGTTGGCCTTCCCTCTGAGGAGAGGATGGGAGGGTCATTGTACCCTCACCTGAGATCCCAGCTACTACTTCCTGTCAGCTGTGTTCAATTATTCCCTAGCTACACATGATCTTGTGTTCTTGGAAGATGCTAGTGTTTATGGTATGTAGAAAGTTAACAAAAGGGGGACTTCCTGGGCATGGTGATACATGCATTTAAATCCCAGCACTCAGGAGGCAGAGGCAGGCAGATCTCTGAGTTCAACGCCTGCTTGGTCTGCATAAAGAATTCCAGGTCAGCTAAGGTTACACAGTGAGAGCCTGTGAGAAAACAAAACCTGGGGCTGGAGAGATGGCTCAGTGGTTAAGAGCACTGACTGCTCTTGCAGAAAGAGGACCTGAGTTCCATTCCCAGCATCCACATGGTGGTTAAACCATCCGTAACTCCAGTTCTTCTGACCTGTGCAGGCATTGCACAACATGGACACACTTATACACAGGCAGACAATACACTCATATAAATAAATAAAAATTTAAAAACAAAAAAATATTTAAAAAAGAGTAGACTCCATCTCTGCAGCTTGGGGACATTGTTGCCCGTGCTGGGGTGAGACTTTCTGGTGGTGTGGCTGCTTTGGACTGACCCACGCTACTGCCCATGACCCCTCACCCATGGTCTATGAGTAAGCCCAATAAATTAACTGGTTCCCTAAGCTTGACTTTGGTGGAATCATACTTTGGCCTATCACTGGTCCAAAGCTCTGGGGTGGGGGGGGGTGTAGCAAGTCTTTGTTATATCTCCCCTGGAAAAAGTTCATGAAACAACTGTTAACACTTGATCTTCAGATTCCCCACAATAATCTGGAATTTTGGTGCTAAAAATCTAACCCACAGCTTTGCCCATCACTGAGTCATAATCACAGTCCCAATTTATTATTATTTATTTTGAAAAAGAGTCTTGCTATGTAGCCTAGGCTGGCCTCAAACTCTGTTACCCAGGCTGGCCTTAAACTTTACTCTTGCTCAGCATCCAAGTGATATGATTTTATAGGCATGTTTTTGGTGTGTGTGTTCCTACAAGGTGTACATGTGGATGCAGGTGCTCACATGCAGGTGAAGGTCACAGGTCAACCTTGGCTGTCATTCCTCAGGAGCCACCCACCTTGTTTTATTGGGACAGGGTCTCTCCTGGGCTTGGGGATGTCCACCTTTTTCTTTTAAATATATTTTATTCAGTGTGTGTGCCATAGTACAAATGAGGTCAGAGGACAACTTTCAGAAGCTGATTCTCTCCTTCTACCATGTGGGACCCAAGGATCAAACTCAGATCATCAGGCTTGGTGGCAAGTGCTTTAACCCACTGAGACATCTCACTGGCCCCCATCTCGTTTGTTTGTTTTAAAGAATCCTCTTATCTTTTTTGTTGCTGTTGTTTATTTTTAGTTAAAGTGTATGAGTGTTTTGCCTGCATGTATGTAAGTAAGTGCACTGTGTGTGTACAATACCTCTGGAGGCCAGAAGAGGGCATTGGATCCCTGGAACTGGAGATAGAATGGTTGTTAGCTGTCATGTGGGTGCTGAGACCCAAACCTGGGTCCTCTGTAAGAGCAACCAGTGCTCTTAACCACTGAGCCATTTCTCCACCGCCTATCTTATTTGTTGTTGTTTTTGTCTTTTTGAGACAGGGTCTCCCTGTAGCCCCAGCTGTCCTGGAACTCACTATGTAGACCAGGCTGGCCTCAAACTCACAGAGATCCGCCTGCCTCTGCCTCCAAAGTGCTAGGATCGAAGACGTGCGTCACCATGCCTGGCATTGTTTTTTGAGATATGGTCTCTCGCTGGCTACGTTGGCTGACCAGCAAGTCCTGTGGATCTACCTGTGTCTGCCTCTCCAGCACTGGAATTATAAACAATGTGCTACCACACTCAGATCAGCTTTTGTGTATGTGTGAGTTCCAGTGTGTGCATATATGTGTGAGGGTGTGCATGCATGCATGTATATGTGCATGTGAAGGTCAATCTCAGGTGTTATTCCTCAGAGGATGTCTATCTTTTTGGGCTTTTTTTCATGTGTATGAGTGTTTTGCCTATGTGTGTGTAAATGCACCTGTGCGGTGCAGTGCCTGGAAAGGCCAGAAGAGGCCGTCAGTTTCCCTGAAACTGGAGTTACAGATGGTTGTTAGCAACCATGTAAGTGCTGGGAACTGAACTCAGATCCTCTGCAAGAGCAGCCAGTACTCTTAATTGCTGAGCCAGCTCTCCAACTCCATCCATTTTGCATTTTTATTTTATCTTATTTTATTTTTTTTGGTCTTTTGAGACAGGGTCTCCTTGTAGCCCCAGCTGTCCTGGAACTCACTATGTAGGCCAGGCTGGCCTTGAACTCACAGAGATCCACCTGCCTCTGCCTCCCGAGTCCTGGGATTAAAGGCGTGAGCCACCATGTCCAGCTCCACCTTGCTTTTTTGAGTCAAGGTCTCTCACTGGCCTAGGCCTCACTAATTCAGCTAGGCTGACTGACCACAGAGTTCCAGGGATCCATTTGGCTCTGCCTCCCCAGTGCTGGGACTGGAAGCACCATGCCAGCTTTTTATGTGGGTCTCAGGGATCAAACACAGGTTTTCATGCTTGCTTAGCAAGCACTTTATCAACTGAGCCATCTCCACAGCCCTAATGATGGGCATGCTCCACCACACCCAGCTGTTTAGCCTTTTTTTTTTCAAATTATTCTATCACTATTTTAAAATTATGTGTATATATGTGTGGGTTTATGTGTGTGTGTGTGTGTGTGTGTGTGTGTGTGTGTGTGTTCAGTGCTAGGATTACAGTGAGTTGTGATTGCTTGATATTAGTGCTGGGAATTGAACTTGGGTCCTCTGAAGAGTAGTACACACTCTTAACCACTGAGCCATCTCTCCAGCCCCCTTCAGTGCTCTTAACTGCGGATCCATCTCTCCAGTCCCTAAACAGATTATTTTTGAGACAGGGTCTCCCTGTAGCCCCAGCTGGCCTAGAACTAGCTATGTAGACTAGGTTGGCCTCAATCTCCTACAGATTCGCCTGCCTCTACCTCCTGAGTGCTGGGATTAAAGGTGTGCATCATACACCCAAGCTCAGCCCCTCTTTATTAAAAAAAAAAAAAAAAGATTTATTTTTATTATTTATTCACATGTCTGTAGGTGTCCATATGCATATATGCATGAGTGTTGAGGATATCCAAGGCAGCCAGAAGATGGCCTGGATCCCCCTGGAGCTGGAGTTACAGAAAGCTGTGAGCAGCCCAATGTGGTCTTTTGCAAGAGCAGCAATATGCTCTCAACCACTGAACTACCTCCCCAGCCTTAGGTTTGACCTCTTTTCTCTGGCACGCTCACACCCTTGTCTTTCTCAATGATTGGACTCTTGACCCCAGACCAGGAAGAAATCACTCAGCCCAGAGAGAAAAGGGGACAAAAGTCAGGATACGGGATGATCACTACTTACCTCGGTGTGTCCAAGGCCCGGATGACGGTTGAGAGCAGCAGGCCATCCCTTGAAGTCACCTGTGCCACATACTGCGGTGGCCCAAGACCCGCGGCCTCCACAACCTTCGAGAAGGCGGGGCTGCCAGAGCAGTCACACAGGGAGCCAGGGAGGTGGCAGCAGTCGCCTGTCGTCATGGCCACAGGGAGCCTCTTGTCCTCAGGGCCCAAGGCCCATGGTCCCAGGAGCCTGCGGGGGAGGCCAGCAGAGATCGAAGGCATAGTTAGTGAATCGCACTGGTTCCTTCTTGGTGGTTGTGTATGAGGTACACACTCGGCACGTGCATGGAGAGGTCAGAGAACACCCTCAGGTGTGAGCCCTCACCTTCCACCTTGTTTTCTGCTGCATTTGCCACCTTCTATCTTCCAGGATTTCCCGTCTCTGCCTCCCATTTCTCTTTAGAAGCACTGAGATCACAGCCATGTGCTACTGTGCCCAGCTTTACGTGGGTTCTAGGGATTCAAACTAAGGTCCTGGGCTGAGCATGCTAGCACGTGCCTTTAATCGCTGGGCTCAGGAGGTAGGGGCAAGCAGACCTCTGTGAGACCAGCCTGGTCTACACATCAAGTTTCAAGCCAGCTGGGGCTACATGGAGACCCTGTCTCAAAAAGCAACAACAGAACAAAACGAAACAGAAAAAGCAAACTCATGTCCTCATATCTGGCTGGTGTTTGTTGCTGTTTTGTTTTCTTCATTTCATTTTTTGTGTTTTGCCTGTGTGGCATGACTGTTAAGTGCACCCATGTCATGCAATGCCCATCGAGGCCAGAAGAGGGCATCAGATCGCCTGAAATTAGAGCTATGGACAGTTAGCCACCATGTGGGTGCTGGGAACCAAAGGGTCCTCTATAAGGGCAGCCAGTCCTCTTAACTGCTGAAACACTCTCCAGCCCCACCCCACTCTTATTTGGCTTTACTGAGGTGGAAAGACCCACCCTGAAAACGGAGGCGGCACCATTTGTGGCCTGGACACTGAACTGAAGGAGAAAGCAAGCCAAGTATTAGAACGCATGCGTCAACTGCTCTCTGTTCCTGACTACGGATGTGATATGACCAACTCCCTCAAGCTCTGGCCACAGTAGCCCCACAGTGATGTAACCTAGAATTGTAAGTTAAAATAAACTCTTTCTCCCCTAAGTTGCTTTGGCCAGAGTATTTTATCACAGCAACAGAAATGAAAGTAAGACAGGGCTCTGAGGACTATGGACAAAGACTTGCCTCTGTGAATCTCTGTTTGCCACATCTGTAAAATGGAGATTCCAGAGCTCTGTGAGCTGATGTACACAATGTAGCCCCAGCCTGGAGGACAGCTAAGGCTTGTGTTAGATTAATTCTCATTCTCCTAGCAAAAGCCAGGCATGACCTCACTTTCAAAATCTTCAAATAAACTTCCATGTCACATTTCCAGACATAGGAACGGCAATTGAAAGTTACCAAGCACCTACTATGTGTCAGGCCCTTTGCTTGTCTTTTTTTTTTTTTTAAGAGCCAGAACCATCCTAGACCTGATACCCTATAGATTTATCCCACAAGGAGGACCAGATCCTTAAAACCAGCTCAGAGCATACTAAGCTGTCTTTAACAGCAGCTAGAGGACTGGGGTGGGGGTGGGGGAGCTTGGAAGTAGAGCCCCTTGCCTAGAATTCCCGAGTGAGAGGCTGGGAGGGGTGGTTCAGAGGTGGGGCAGCTATCTAGAAGCCTCCAGTAAGGAGCTGAGGCATGGGTCAAAGGTAGAGCACCTACCTAGAATCCATAAGTGAGGGTCTGGGACATGTGGCTCAACAGCAAAGTATTGGCCTAGGTATGTAGGACACCCTGGTTCAATCCCCATCATAGCAAAGCACACACACACACACACACACACACACACACACACACACAAATGGAGCTAGAAATACTGCCTTCCACACCAGAATGGTGAGTCACTCAGGTCCTCACGGTTGACGGCTTCTGCTGTATGCTCTTAGAGGCCTCCATCTATCAAGGAAGTGACACATGCCTGTGTCCCCAAGGGGCCAGTTTCTCTTTCCTCGATTCCAAAGGGGAGACTGCAGGAGATAGTGATACCCCAGGTAGCTATTCTGAAGGCTGGTCTGGGTGACTTAGGGAGGATTCTGCCCTCTGCCTCAGGGTCTGATCAGTAAAAAGGAACCTCACACAGCCTGTCTTCCCCAAAGCCAGCTGGCAAGACTGGGATTAGGGCTTCCCAATTTCTGTTTTTTTCCTTTTCAGTGGTAGGGATTGGCAAGCACTCTACCACCAAGCTATATTCCCAAACTTCACCCCACTTCTGCCCTTTTTTTTCTTTTCAAAAATTTTTATTAAGCCAGGCATGGTATTAAGCACACTTTTAATCCCAGCACTCGGGAGGCAGAGGCAAATGGATCTCTGTAAGTTCGAGGCTAGCCTGGTCTACATAGTGAGTTCCAGGACAGCTGGGGCTACAGAGACACCCTGTCTCAAAAAGACTGAAATAATAATAATAAAAATTCTTATTACATTTATTTATGGGGGATGGGGGATGTGCTATGGAGTATGTGTGTAGAGGTCAGAGACAACTTGGAAGGAGTCAGTTTTCTCCTTCCAGCATGTGAATCCTGGGATCAAACTCAGGTTATCGGGCTTGGTAGCCAGCACCTTCACCCACTGAGGCATCTTACCAGTCCTTAATGTTTTCTGAGCCAGGGTCTCATTGAGTTACCCAAGCTGGCCTGGCCTGGGACCTTTTCTTTTCCTTTTTTTTCCTTTCTTTCTTTCTTTCTTTCTTTCTTTCTTTCTTTTCTTTCTTTCTTTCCTTCTTTCTCTCTCTCTCACCCTTCCTTTCTTCCTTCCTTCCTTCCTTCCTTCCTTTCTTTCCTTTCTGGCCTAGAACTCAATATGTAGACCAGGCTAGCCTCTATCTCACAGAGATCCACCTGCCTCTGCCTCCTATGAGTGCTGGGTTGAAGGGTATGGGACACCACACCCTGCTAGAACTTTTTCTATATCCTAGGTGTTCCTTAAACTCAAGATCCTCCTGTCTCAGCTATCCAAATAGCTATTGTGGGCCACTAGGCCTGACTCTTCTCAGAAATTCATGAAAGTATCAGAAGCCTGTCTAAATGCCTCTTAGACATTACTACAGGTATTCCAGAACCATGGATCATTGGTCTGTTTGTCCAATCCCCAGGACCTTTGTCTTTAAGAGCTAAATCTAGCAACCTGAAAAGTCTAGCAACCTGAATAATATTCAAAAGTTCCAACTGACAAGGCCAGCCAGTCACTCTTCACCAATCCTGCCTGGGAAAATCAGAGAACCCAAAAGAGAGCATAAATTAGTAACTGACTTTTGTGCCAGGACAGTCTGCTGACAGATCAGTACTCCCTGAACAGCTCAGCCAGAAAGCCAGCACGCCCTTCTAGGCCTCCACAGTTAGGCCATTTTAAGTCAGATAAGCAAGTATCAGCCAAAGTCAGAAGCAGCCGGGAGGAAGGCTGTGAGCCTGAGATAACATCCATAGGGCACAGCCAGGTCTGCCTTGTGTGTACTGCTGTTCCTTCCCAGTGCTTGCAGCCAGAACATCCAGCTGGAGGAAGCCACTAGGTCCTCCAAGTTGATGCCTGCAAATTAAGTCCACCTGCCCCTCTTAAGGACTGGTTTTAGATTCTCTCTCTCTCTCTCTCTCTCTCTCTCTCTCTCTCTCTCTCTCTCTCTCTGTCTCTCTCTCATTTATTCTTCCTTCTTTCTTTATATTCTTTATTAATTTTGTTTTTATTTTATGTGTATGAGTGTTTTGCCTACATGTATGTATGTATGTATATGTACCATGTGCATGCAATGCCCAGGGAGGTCAGAAGAGGGGTGTTTGCTCCCCTGGAACTGGAGTTACAGAAGGTTGTTAGCCACCATGTGGTGCTGGGAACTGAACCTGGGTCCTCTGCAAGAGTAGCCAGTGCTCTTATCTGCTGAGCCAGCTCTCCAGTCCCCTTTCTGTTTTTGAGGCAGGGTCTCAGGTAGCATAGGTTAGTCTAGAACTTACTATGCACCCAAGGATGACCTTGATCTCCTGATCCTCTGCCTCTACCTCCAGAATACTGCCTTTAGAGACATACCATACCTGGTGTATGTGATGCTGAGATCTTCATGTATGCTAGGTAACACCCTATCAACTGAGTCACATCCCTAGATCCCCCTCTTTTCCTTTTTCCCTTTCACCTTCCTTCCTTTTTTCCTTCCTTCCTCCCTTCCTTCTTTCTTTTTTTCTTTTTTAGGGATGGGCTCTCACCATACAGCTCAGGCTAGAATTCCTGATCCTCCTCCTTCAGTTTCCCAGTGCTGAAAAATGGGAAATCTTAGAGTTTCTACAATTTTACATTACAAAAATTATCACAGACAGACTGGAGGGTTAGCTCAGAGGTTAAGAGCACTGGATACTCTTGCAAAGGACCCTGGCTCAATTCCCAGGACCCACATGGCAGCTAACAACCATCCATAACACCAGTTCCAAGGGATCCAATGCCCTCTTCTGACCTCCACAGGCACTGTACAACACGGGTGCACTTACACACATGCAGGCAAGACACTCATATACATAAAATTAAAATAATACATAAAATATATATTTTTTAAATCATCACAGAGGCTGGGCGTGGTGGTGCATGCCTTTAGTGCCAGCACTCAGGAGTCAGAGGCAGGCGGGTCTCTGTGAGTTTGAGGCCAGCCTGGTCTCCATGGTGAATCCAGGACAGCTGGAGCTACAGGGAGACCCTGTCTCAAAAAGATGAAAAAAAAAATCATCACAGTCCTTGTATTTAATCTACTCTTGGGGAAATCCACAAACACTAGTAAATCTGCTGATACCAGTCCCATAAATTTCTAAAAGAGCAACATCAATGCTGGGTGTGGTGATTTCACACTTATAATCCCGGCACTGGGAGGTTGGGGCAGGAGAATCAAAAATTCAAGGTCACCTTGCCTACAGAGTTAGAGGCCAACTTGGGTTACAGGAGACCTTGTCTCAAAAACTCAAACAGGGCAACGAGATGGCTCAGTAGGTAATGGTACTTGCCAACTAGTCTGACGCCTTGAGGTCAATCCCCAGGACCCACATGGTGAGAAGAGCGAACTAACTTATACAAGTTGTCCTCTGACTCCACATTCCACCTGTGGCATTCAAGTGAGACCACATGAAAAACAGATTATTTAAAATGTGATAAAGAAAATTAGTAAGCTTGGTGTGGTGGCATACTTTAATCCCAGCACTAGGGAGGTAGAGGCAGGTAGATCTGTGAGATTGAGGCCAGCGGTCTATGTAGCGAGTCCCAAACTACAGCTGTTTTTTGAGATCCTGTCTCAAAACAAAATAAAACAAAACACACAAACAAAACTTAGTAACAGCAGCAAAGGTTTATTAAACACTGGATAAAACACTGGTGCTGGGGTGTAACTCAGTTGGTAGAGTGCTTGTCTAGCATGCATGGAGCCCTGGGTTTGATCTCCAGTATGGTGGCATACACTTGTCATCCCAGCACTCTGAAGGTACAGGCTGGAAGGATCAGAAGTTCAAGTTTATCGTCAGCTACATACCAAGTTTGAGGTCAGCCTGGGCTACCTGATGTCGTATCTCAAAAACAAACATAAGAACAAAAGACTGGCCAGGGGGTGGTGCACACCTTGAACCCCAGCATTCAGGAGGCAGAGGCACATGGATCTCTGGGAGACTGAGGCCAGACTGGTCAACATAGCAAGTTCCAGCCCTGACTGGCCTGGCATTCACTATATAGACCAGGCTGGCCTTGAACTCACAGAGATCTGCCTGCCTCTGCCTCCCGAGTGCTGGGATTAAAGGTGTGCCCACCACATCTAGTCCTAGGTTCTTTTTTGTTCCTTTTTTTTTGTTTTGTTTTGTTTTTTGTTGTTGTGCTTTGTTTTGAGACAGGATCTAATTATGTAACTCAGGTTGGCCTTAAACTCTCACTGATTCTCCTGCCTCAGCCTTCTGAGTGCTGGGATTATAGGGGTGCCTCACCACACTCTTTTTTTTTTTTTTTTTTAAGACAGGGTCTCCCTGTAGCCCCAGCTGGCCTGGAACTTGCTACACAGACAAACTGACAAAGATCCACCTGTCCTTGCCTTCCCAGTGCTGGATTAAAGGTGAGCGCCACAACACCCAGCTACTTTCTTACTTTATTTACTTTTTTACAGGAGGAGTGAACCAGTAAGTTTAATTAGGGTTGTCAACAGAAGCATGGGTGAGGGGTTATTTAAGGAGCATGGCCAACTTACCTGTGCCTATACCTCTGAAGAAAATTCTGCTTCCTCACCCAGCAACCATTAGCTGCTTAGAGATTCTCAGGGAAGGATGGTGGAGCCTCAAGAGTATCCTCCCTAACCCCACCCCATAACGGTACTAGAGATTGAACCCAGGGTCCTCAATATGCTAAGCAAACACTCTCTCACTGAGTTCCATCCCAGGACTATTTTCCTTTTTTCTGGGGTTTTGCAGACATCCTGGTTATGTAAACCTGGATGGACTCAAATTTTCAGCAATTACCCTGCCTCATTCTCCTGAATGTTGGGATTATAGGCATGTACCACCATGTCCAGTTTCCAGCTCTTTTAATTTTTCACTATAAGAGCTGGCAAGATGGTTTAGTAGTTACAGGCTCTTGCCTCCAAGCCTGAGAAGCTGAGCACCAATGTGGTAGAAGAGAACTGACTTCCACACGTTATCCCAGACTTCAACACATGCATACACACAAGCAAATGAAATAATACATAAATGTAATTAAAATTGTTTTATATTAGAAACACGGTTACAGACTGGAGAGATGACTCCATTGTTAAAAGCACTTACTGCTCTTATAGAGGACCCAGGTTTGGTTCCCAGCACCCACAACTGCATTTAACTCCAGTTCCAAAGAATCTGACACCTTCTTCTGTAAGGGTTCCTACACACACATGCACATAAATTCATGAAGGTACACAGATATACAGATAACTAAAAATTTTAAAAATTAAAAAAAAACAGGCATTGAATTCAATAGGACTTCAAAAGTTCAAGATAGACCTTGAACTTATTTATTTATTTATTTATTTATTCATTTTTAAATTTTATGTATACGAATGCCTTGCCTGTGTGTATGTTAAGTGCACCAAATGCATGCAGTGTCTGTGGAGACCAGAAGAGGGTGTTGATCCCCTGGAACTGGAGTTAAGGAAGGTTGTTAGCCACTGTGTAGATGCTGGGAACCAAACCCAGGTCCTCTGCAAGAGCAGTCAGTGCTCTTAACTGTTGAGCCTTCTCTCCAGCCCCCAGCCTTGAACTTCTAATCTTCCTGCTTCAACCTCCAGAGTATCTGAGATAGCAGGAGGGTGCTATCACATCCTGTAACCTAGGAGCTTTAAATCCTGGCTCTGCCACTGATATTTTATGTCCTGGTTCAACTTACTTTGCTTTTCTAGGCCTCATCTTTCCTATTTTCATTTTGGTAATACAGGGGATTGAACCCAAGATCTCATGTTCCACCACCGAGCTACACTCCCACATGACTAATCCCTAATCCTTCTCCTTATAAATATTCATATTCTCTCTCTCTCTCGCTCTCTCTCTTTCTCCCCCCCACCCCCAGGGTCTCTGATGCATCCCAATTTATGTGGTGCTGAGGCTTGAGCCCAGAGCCTCATACTGCTACGTAAGCACTCTACCAACTGAGCTATATCCCCACAGAAGCCAGGTTCTAATCCCAGCCCCTCCACTTCTTGTTTACTGTGTGGCCTTGGGCAAGAGATTTAACATCTCTGATCCTCAATTGCCTCATTTGGATGACAGGAACCATTTCTAGTACTTCCACCTAGTTTGGTTCCCACTAACCATACACTTTGGCTATCTTTATTTAAAGTTTTTCACATTTATTTATTTATTTTGTATTTCTTTGCATGGGGTGGGTGCAATCACGCAAAGGTGTGCATACGGAGGTCAGAGGACAACTTGCGGGAGTCAGTTCTCTCCTTCCCACCATATGAGACCCAGGGATCGAACTCTGCCAAGCACCATTACCCACTGAAGCATCTCGACAGCCCTTGACTATCGTTCTGAACAGTCTTTCAGCACTGCACTCTAAGTAGCTTTGTGTAAAGTGCCCAACTCTTATGTTTACTATTATCCAGGCAGAGTCCCTATGAAGCGGTGACAGAACGACATTAGCCACTTACTGACCTCCTTCTGTATGCCGGTCGTTTTCCTCACCAAACACCTCCTAAATTAGGATGGCTCCTGGATGACCCACTTTCCACAGACGGGGAAACCGAGGCTCAGAGAGATTTCTACTGTGTGCCGAAGGCTGGAGACCTCTCATCTTTCTCGAAATGGAAACTGGTGTGCCTGCGTCCCAAGCAGGACTGAGGCCAAGGGTGCTGTCCCGCCCGAGGATTGAGTTCGGGCCTCGAACCCGCGACAGGGGAACGCGCCTGTATCCTCGGGCCCGACCCGCTGCTGTTCTGTGCCTACCTGATCCGCGGCCGGGCCGGGCGGCCGCGCAGGCCCCTTGGTTCTCCCTGGCCCGGTCCCGGCCCGGCCCGGCCCGTCAGCCAGTGCTTGCACTGCTTCGGCCGGCACCTGCGTCCGGGCACCGCCCGCCGAGCCAGCAGTACCACGAACCAATGGGGGCCGCCTTGTACTCGCATTGACCAATCATCATGCAGATCCCGCCCTAAGAGGCGGAGCTAGCGGCGACGGGGACGTCCTGGGCGGCCCAGGGTCCACGGCGCCCGCAGCATCTAGCCCCGCCCTTACAGCGTCCTGGCTCCGCCCCAGAACCGGCCCCGCCCCTTTCCGGCTCCGCCCCTCCCCTAGCTAGACTGGAGAACAGCTGATGGCGACTCCTGCCTAGAACGCAAGCAGGTTTAAGTAAATAACACAGTTACAAATTGAACTCGACACTTGACAAGTGACTGGGAAGTGCTCTTCATCTCCTTTACGCTTCTTTCTTTTATTTTCTTTTTTGGAAATATGGTCTTATGTAATCCAGGCTGGCTTCGAGCTCACAAAGTAGCCAACTTAGTGTTGAACCTCTGACCTCTGACCTCTGACCTCTGGCCTGGACCTCCCCAGTGATGGCACGACAACCATGCGCCACCACTGCTAGTTTATGGGCTGTTGGGGACCGAACCAAGTGCTTCGTGCATACTGGAAAAACACTACCATCTCAGCCACATCCTCTTTATGCTGCTTAACAATCCTGGGGTAAGGAGAGGTGGATATGATGACACTTCACAGAGGAAAACCAGAAGCCTAGACGGGTTCGGGTGCTGTGGGGGAGGCTAAAGCCAACATCATTTATTCCTCATACATTCATGCAAGATTCATTCAAAACATGCGGCAAGTCCTTGCTTGTTTTTTGCAGTACGAGCAGCCTCGAGCAGCAAAATCTCTCGAGGCACCCTGCACAAGGCGGTGTGGGGAGTCCTGCTTGGGAGCCAGCCCAAGCCCCGCATTTTCTGGAAACCGTGGAACTACAGATCAGCCTGAAGAACTATAACTCTCAAGACCAACGCTTCTCTGGGACTTTCAGGCTTAAGTCCACTCCCCGCTGAAGTTTTCTGTGTGCATTCTGGGGGACCAGCACCACTGTGATGAGGCCGAGGCTGTGGACATGTCCCCCACTGGACATGGAGGCCTTGAAGATGCTCAACAAAAAACAAGAAGTAGGTCAAGAAGCTGGACAGGAAACATGATGCCTTTCTTGGCCTCTGAGTCTGTGATCAAGCAGATCCCCCAAATCCTGGGCCCAGGTCTGAAATAAGACTGGCAAGTTCCCTTCCCTGCTAACACATTTAGTTACTTTCTGTTGCTGTGATTAAAAAAGTCTTGACCAAACCAACTCGGGAGGATTTGTTTGGCTTACAGCTCACAGTCTCTCTATTCTCAAGGGAAGCCAAGGCAGGAACCTGGAGGCAGGAGCTGAAGCACAGACCATAGAGGAACCCTGTTTACTGGCTCACTCCCCTAGTCCATGCTCAGCCTGCTTTCCTTTATGATATAGGACCACCTGCCCAGGGGTGGCACTGACCACAGTGGGATGGGCCTTCCCACATCACCCAACAATCAAGAAAATGCCCCACAGACATGACCACAGGCCAATCCAATAGAGGAAATTCCTCAGTTGAGGTTCCCTCTATCCAGGTATGTCAAGTTGACAATTGAAGCTATTCCGCACACACGATGTAGACATGGTGACCAAAGTCAATGAAGTTCACAGTCAAGTTCCAGATGAAGAAAGTGCTATGTCTAGTGGTTGCTGCTGGTCATTTGAAGATGGTCTACAACATTCATCTGCCTGTCAATTTCTTGCTCAAGAAAAAACTGGCTGAATGTCAGGACTTCATATAGTAGGTAAGCCCAGTGGCTGTATTAGGGCATATTGTAGTAATTCCTAATGTTACCAAAGCCCAAACAGCAAAACAGAAAAACCCAGAGGAAGACACTTGGTAGAAGGAGCTGAGGTGATAGCTCAGTGGGTAAGCGTTCTTGCTGTGCAAACATGAGGACCTGAGTTCAAATTCCCAAGAGCCAGGTAAAAATGTCTGTAACCCTAAGGGTGGTGGGTGGTAGAGATAGGAGGGTGGCTGGGATTTGCTGGCTGCCAGCCTAGCTCCAGTTTCAGTGAGAGCCCTTCTTCATAGGAATAAGAAAGAGACTGATATGCATACACACAAACTTGTTCATGTACCATACTGCACACAGCACACAGAATAAAAAATAAAGAAGCTAGCAGAACTTAACTAGCACAAAGCCCTGGGTTTGATCACCAGCACAGTATAAACTGGGAGCAGTGGCACATACCTGTAATTCCAGCACTCAAGAAGTTGAAGGTCACCCTCAAATACATAATAAGTTTGAGGCCAGCCTGAAAACCATGAGACCATAAGAAAAAAAAAAGGATCAAAAATCACTGGGAGGCACTATTATCATCCAGGCACTGAGCTAGACCCTGGGGACACATACTGACTAATAGTAATACTATGAGACAGACAGTAACAAAATTTTTTTAATCACTTTTTTGTTTGTTAGAGATGGTCTCACTATGTACCCTGGGCCTTCACTGTCTTCCTGCCTCAGCCTCCATGTACTGGGATTACAAGCATGTGCTGCCATACCCCACTTATCAATATTTATTATTAGTACTATTGCAGTGCTAGAGATAGAACCAAAATCCTCAAATACTAGGTAGGTGCTCTACCACTGGGCTATGCATTTTGCTGTTGTTTTTGTTTTGTTTTTTTTGAGACAGGGTCTCATGAAGCCCCAGTCTGGCTTCAAACTGGCTATGCAGCTGAGGATGACTTTGAATTCTTGATGCTCTACCACCACCCTAGAGGCAGGCGGATCTCTGTGAGATCAAGGCCAGCCTGGTCTACATAGCAAATTCCAGGCCAGCTGGGGCTACAGGGAGACCCTGTCTCAAAAACCCTAATGAATAAAATAAATAAATAAATAAATAAATAAATAGATAGATAGATAGATAGATAGATAGATAGATTAGGTAGGTAGACGGATAGATAGATGATTGGTAGATAGACAGATAGATAGATGATTGATAGATGATAGAGATAAAACACAGATGACAGATATAGAGATATAAGATAGATATAGATGATAGATAGATAGATGATAGCGTAGATAGATAGATAGATGATAGATAGATAGATAGATAGATAGATAGATAGATAGATAGATAGATAGATAGATAGATAGATAGATAGATAGATAGATAGATAGATAGATAGATAGATAGATAGATAGATAGATAGATAGATAGATAGATAGATAGATAGATAGATAGATAGATAGATAGATAGATAGATAGATAGATAGATAGATGATAGATATTACCTATAGAGGGGCTGGAGAAATGGCTCAATGGTTGAGAGCATTGGCTGCTCTTGCAGAGGACTTGGGTTTGGTTCCCAGAACCACATGGCATCCAACAACTGTCCCTAATTCCAGTTTCAGGGGATCCAACACCCTCTTCTGGTCTCCACAGGCATTGCACACATGTGGTATACCTACATCATGCAGGCAAAATGCTCATAAATATAAAAATAAATTAAAATTTAAAGATATTGTCTATAGAGTATAAATGATGTCAGAAACAATGGAGCCACATTAAGTTCTACAGCAACAGTAAAAATAACTTTTTTAAAGCTGGTCATGCTGGCAGATACCTTTAATGTCTATGCACAGGAAGCAGAGGTAGGCAGACCTCTGTGAGCTCAAGACCAGCCTGGTCTGCACAGAGAGTTGTACACCAGTCAGGGTTATCTCAAAAAATATTTTAAAAATTGGGGCTGGAGAGATGGTTCAGCAGTTACGAACACTGGATGCACTTGCAGAAGGCGAGGTTCGAATCCTAGAACTCATGTGGTGGCTAACAACCATCTCATAACTCCAGTTCCAATTTGACACCCTCTTCTGGCCTCCAACTGCTGCTGTATGTAAGTGCACAACAGGGGTGTACTTACATACAGCAGCCTTATAATAGTCATACACAGAAAAAATAAATAAAAGTGTTTTAAAAATTGAAAACAACTGGGGCTGTGGGGCTGGAGAGATGGCTCAGTGGTTAAGAGCTCTGACTGCTCTTGCAGATGACACGGGTTCGATTCCCAGCACCCACATGGCAGCTAACAACCATCCATAACTCCAGTTCTGGGGAATCCGAAGCCGCCTTCTTCTGACCTCCTTGGGTATTGCACAACACAGGTGCATATGCACCTATGCAGGCAATACACTCATACACATAAAAAGAAATTGAAAACAACAACAATAAAAGCCCAGGAGTTATAAAAAGAGGATCTCACTCACCCATGCCTCATGACAAAAATTATCACTGAGGACATCATAAATCTACAAAAAATACACAGACATCTGCCCAGCAATGTTTGCACAATCATAGGCTGACACCGCCCTTATTATTGATCCTTGTAGCCAAGGACAGTTGATTCAAAATAGCTTACATAACCCTCTCCTTGCCTCCAGCTCCTTGAATATGCAGGTTGTTCATCATAGCACACATTGCCACCACTGTGCTGTACATATTCTTATTAATTTTTGTTTTATTTATTTTTGTGTGTATGAGTATTTTGCCTGTATGTAAGTGCACACATGCATGCAGTGCCAGCAAAGGCCAGAAGAGGGAGTCGTATTCCCTGGAACTGGAGTTACCGATGGTTGTTAGCCACCATGTGGGTGCTGGGAACTGAACCCAGGTCCTCTACAGGAGCAGCCAATGTTCTTAACCAAGTCATCTCTCTAGCTACTATTTATTTATTTATTTATTTATTTATTTATTTATTTATTTATTTATT